CTCTCTCGCCGAGACCCGAGCGCCCCCCGGCCCCGTGGGCCCCAGAGGGGTGGGCGGCGCGGCCTCCGCCCGCTCCTTTGTCTCGGCGGCCTGAACACCGGGCCGGGCCGGGCCGGGCCGACTACAAACGGGAAGGCCGGATCGGGCCACCCCACCGCTCTGGGGCCCACGGGGCCGGGGGGCGCTCGGGTCTCGGCGAGAGAGCCGGCCCGGGTCAGGGTAGACAGGAGAACCCTGGAGGGACGGAGCCTGCCAGTCTCAGTGATCGAGGCTTTTGCCCCCAGAGACTTGGCCCCCGGAACCCACGCGAGCGGGGTTGCGGGAAAGAAGCCGCGAGTTTTCGTCGGGTCATCTCATGTCTGGGCACAGATCGATGTTGAGTGTGCGGTTGTGAACCTCTCCCACTGTGTTGAAGCCGCGTGCCTAGCTCCAAATGTGCATCTCCGAAATGAAAGCAAAGGATGGCACGGGCCTAATTGCTCTGTTTTCCCTTGAAGCTTTTGCTTTAAGTCCGTTTGGATTGTGTCTAGCAGACACATCTGTTTAAAGCAGGGGCGAGACCACAGAACTTCCGAAAGGGAGCTTCATAGCGTGGAAATAGTTTTAAGTTCCTTCTGCAGACACTGGTGTGCTGTCTCTTCAGGCGAGTTACTTTTCTGAAGTGTAATTTTTATCTGGACAAAGCGCTGGTGTACTTTTCCTTGTGAAATAGTTGCCATCCCAGAATTTAAAACGCACCGAATTATACAGAAGATATTACCTGATAGAGATTCACCCAGGTTAATTTAACTTTAACTGATAGAATTTGACTCAGCCCTTCATACTCTATGGCTTTGAATTATAAGGAAACTAATAGCTATTATCCTTTCTTTTGCGAAAAGTCAGAAGTTGTTTTATGTGTTAACTTATGATTTAGGCAAGAGCCACATTGTTTTGCATTTTTGTAAATCTTTTTAGTGCCTAAACAGAAAGGAGATTCTTGAATCTATTTTTGCATGCAGTCTTATGTGCTATCACACCACCTAACCACTGGAAAACACCGTACATCATGCATTTTTTCTTTATCCTGTTTTAGCCATGTAAGTACAATCAGGGTACTGTACAAGACAAACTTAAAAAACATATGAATGAGAAGAATGATTCAGTGATTCCTGGATTTTGGGAAAGAGGGCTCTAACTTTTTAAAAGATGGGGATTAAGATATGTAAGCATTACAGACATTCTAATTTACCGATAGTCTTGAAGTCTCAGGAACATTTGGAACTAGTCCAAGTGACAAGACAGACAAAGCGAATTTACAAGCACATCTACTGTGCTTGTAAAGACCTGTGCATCAATGATCTTTTCAACACTGTAGAGCTCAGACTTGAGTTGAAGGTTGAGACCTTTGCTGAAACAAAGCATAAGTAACATGCATGTATAATTTGCATATATAAGCCCTTAGCTCTTTTCTGAGTCAGTTTGGGTTTCCCAGGTGTGGGTGATAAATGTGTAAAATTTCAAGATGACTTGGGCCTACTTTGGAAGGAAGCTGAGTTTGCAGTGGTTTCTTGTGACCTCTAGTCTGAATCTGTCAGTTGGCCTTTCTCTGCTGTTCATCAACAGGAAGCATCTGGCCATTCTTCATGTAATTGTCAGAAAGTGCCAGGTACATTTTCAATGTGTGCTATTCATATAAAAAATTGGATCCTGCTTAATTTTACTTGATTTTGATTGTTTCCCTCCCTTTCCTGGCATTTTAAAAAAACTTTTTTTATAAGTATCTCATCAGGTAACAGGTAGGGCAAACATTACAAACTCAAAATATGTCACATAAAACTTTAAGTCAGAAATTCATTTTTGAGGGAGCTGGAATTTCTTTCAAGTTGCCTATGCCAGTAAATGCACTACTGGGGTCCAGCCCCTATTTCACATTGGAACCTGTTAGCACTTTCTTGAACATCTAGGAACTTGTTTATAGATCACCAAGTACGATAATTTGATTCTGTATGTGGTATGTAGTGATCAAATTAAGGTCTTTAGTATCTCTGTCTTCCAAACTTTTGTGTGTGTATGTATGTTGGGACCCTTTCAAGTCTTCTGTTTAGTTTATAGAATATATAATTGTAAACTTTTTTATTTGAAGTCAGGTAGCTTTCCAGTGACCCCATGGCTTTACAACTAATAGATACATTTCTGTAGCATTGATGTCTCAACTTTGGGTCAGTGATAATTAGCATTTTATTTTTCTGAAGGTATTTGTTCCTTTATCCCTGTGGAAGATACATTTAGTGTCAGAAGAAATTAGAATTAGGACCTGTTTGTTTCCTCCGAACATCAGCACTCTTTTGTCCTGAAAAGGTTAGTGCGTCTTTATTTGGGCTGCTTAGGTTTATGACATTGGAGTCGAGACTTAGGCTGTAAGTAATTTCTCCAAAGATAAATCCTGATTTTATCTTGATGTAATAAAGGTGTGAAGAGTACCAGTTGAAGCGTTATTGATAACAAGAGCAGTTGCTGACTCTTCCTGTGCTGTAGTTGTCTTCTTTGTACAGTAGGGATCATTCTAGCACCTGTTGTTGTAGGGATCATTAAATGATTTAGTACATGTATAAAGTAGTTTTCAACTGTCCTAATGCGGTGACACTTTGAAACAGTTCCTCATGTGCTAACCCCCAACCATAAAATTATTTTTGTTGTTACTTCATAACTGTAATCTTGTTGCTGTTATGAATTGTAATGTAAATGTTTGTTTTCTGATGGTCTTAGGCGACCTCTGTGAAAGGATCGGTCGCCTCCTAAAGGGGTTGTGACTCCAGGTTCAGGATTACTGCCTTAGATAGTTAATAGATCAGTAAGTTTTTTTAGTTTTTTTTTATTTTTTATTTTTTATTTTTTAAGCAGAATCTCCATTTAACCTCAATTTGCCTCAAACTCACCGTATACTCCAGACTGACCTTGAGTTTGGCACAATCCCCTTGCTTCATCCTTTCAGATCCTGAGATTGCAGGCATGATCATTCTAGTGTACATAGTTATCATGAGGTCTCATACCCACCATTCAGAACCCCTGGAATCAGTAATCTTGGAATTTGTCTGTGTGTGAATGCACATGTATACACAAATATATGTGCATATACGCAAAAATAATAATGTTATGTAACCTTTGGAAGGAGTCCAATACAGTATCCCTTTTCAATTTGCTTACTCGTGTGTGGGTGCAAGAGGCCCATGATACTAGGAGATTACAGATTTGGGAGCCGTTTTACTAGGATCAAACTCAGGACTGGCTTGGTGGCAGAGATCTTTGCCCTAGGGCTGGAGAGGTACCTGGTTGAGATCACTTGCTGCTTGTTCAGGACATTCAAGTTCAGTTTCCAGCACCCTTGTCACATTTCTCACAACTGCTTATAATTCCAGTTCTAGGGGATCTGACCCCACTCTTCCGAACACTCATGGGATGTGTACATCCTGTTCCTGTGCATCACACACAATAAAAAAGTCCCTTTACCTACTGAGACAACTCAATAGCCACTGTGATTCTGTCTTTTTAATTAGATACTGTCTTTTAAAATTAGATACTGTAATTTTATTATGCAATGCAGTATCTTTTTCTAGAAGAATCTTGAGTGTCTCTATTAAAGTTAGGTGTTTCAATCTCATTACACTAGAGAGGTAGGCTCCTGCTAATCCTGGTAGTATATCTAGTAGTGATTCTTTAAAAGAAGTGAGTGGGAGGGGTACCATGATACTGCTTTCTAACATAACCCCCTCCCATTTGGTAGAGAAGTAGCTACTAAGGCCATAAAATTACAGTATTGGACACTAATTAAGATCACTTTCTTTCATGATGAAAACCTATCTGTTGGGTGTGGTAGCACACGCCTTTAATCCAAGCGCTGGGGAGGAAGCGATCTCTTGAGTTCAAGACCAGCCTGGTCTACAGAGTGAGTTCCAGGACAGCCAGGGCTACACAGAGAAACCCTGTCTCAGTTCCCCCCCAAACAAAACAAAACAAAATTATTGAATGTGTAGCTGCCTTGCTGTATCCCTTGTGCTTATAGCACTTGTATTCAAACAGGAAACTTTGGTGCATAAATGATTTGAAAGTTTTCCTTTATATCCAAAATGGTTTATGTAAAATCTTTGACCTTTACCCATGTGACTGATTATTCTATTCTTTCCATTCATAGGGACCCCCACTGTCTTTCCCTTAATACTGAGGTCTGAATGTGTCCTCCTGAAATTCATGTTGAACTCAATCTTCAAGATGATGGTTTGGGGAGACTAGATGATGAATGTAAAGCCTTTATGCATGAGATTAGTGCTTTTCAAAAGAGACTGCAGATGGCCAGTCTGTAGTGACACACACCTTTAGCACTCAGCAAGCAGAGGCAGGTGGATCTCTGTGAGTTTGAGGCCAGGCTGGTCTACTTAGTTGCAATACAGTCGGGGCTACACAA